TACATACATACATACATACATACATACATACATACATACATACATACGTATGTACATACAGATATACGGATGGACGGACAGATGGTGCATTCCGACAACTGTTTGCATGGATCTGGTAACTCTCAGGCTCACTAATAATAAAGTTATGAACAAATTTGACTGCCTTGAACAAATAAAACTTATATTAGACATGTAAACTGAAAATAATTACATAAACACTAATTTTAAACACAACAGACGACACAAAACAACTTTTTAATATCACGATCTTCAAATGAAGCATTTCTGCCTCTATGCTTAAAAAAAAAACCTCTGCCCCTGAAAGAGTGGTGGGGGCTAATGCCAAGCACAGGCAGAAGGAGTCCAAAGGCAGCGCAGGCAGGTGCCTGGAGGTTTCACATGTGGAGTCAGACAACAACGAGCAGGGACAGAGTTGGGTTCGACTTGGGAGGGGGGTGAGGATGCTTCACCGAAGCAAATGTAAGTAAACGTAGATATTTAACAGCTTGTTAAAATACACCAAAATGCAGGCAATCACATCTACTTGATTCAAAATTTCCTGGGAGAGGACCCCCCAGCATGCCAGCCCACCTATTATTTTCATTCCAGCATCAATCGGTTTACAAATTAAGCCCTGTTTATAACCACTGCCTTCTTCGGTTGCTTGTCAACCACCGCAAGGTCCGGTTGGTTAGCCATCACCTGTTTGCTGGTCTGGATATGGAAGTCCCACAGTATCTTAGCTCTTCCATTCCCCACCACCTTTGGTGGCATCTCTCACTTTGACTCTGGGACATCCAGTCCATACTCAGCACAGATCTTCCTGTACATTATTCCAGATGTTCCTGTATGTTATCCAGCCACTTTGTTATGGCGCTCCATGCATGCTTTGCCTGCCTGGATCTTACATCCTGCTATGATTTGGACTGTTCAGGGACATATTTGCACAGCCTGCATCTTGGGTGACCCTGTGATGGACTTGCAACCTGTCCAAGATGTCTTCCACCTCTCACACAGTGACTGTTGGATATGGGCACCAGTAACCCCCTGCAAACCCGAAAAGGAAGAAGCGGGTAAAGATAATGGATGGATGGATGGATGGATGATGGATGTTGGATGAATGGATGGATGGATGGTTGGATGCATCTTGGGTCTTGTCTAGTATGGTAGACCCTGGTTTCTATTGTTCTTGTTCTGAGGGCCTATTCTTGTGCTGCCATAATTAGTGCCTCTGTGTTGTCCTTCAGCTCAGCCTTTTCTAGTCACTGGTAGTATTTGTTGATATCAGACACTTCTTCAATCTGATGGTGGTACATGCTGTGCAGGGGCTTATCTTTCCATGATGGCAACTCTTGTTCCACATTGGTTTTCTGCTGCTGCCTGAGACATTCACTCATCAGTTCATCATTGAGGGCTTTCCCCCTGATTCAACCTTTATTTCTACAGGTTAATCCCATTGAGCCTTGAGGACTCATTTACAAAAGAGACCTGATTTCAACAAAGAATGATGACAACAATGGACAATCATAAAAGAGGCATACTTTTTTTTTTTACCAAATTAAAATAAGATGGCAAAAATAGCAAAAAAAAAAATAGCTAGATCATAAGGTGAATATAGAAAACTAAAAACAGGAACATGTCTGCATTCTTAAAGCCACTTAGAGAGGTCAAGGTCGAGAGCTTCAGATCTTTTTGCAAGATATTCCAGGAAACGGGAGCGGAGTAGGAGAAGGACCTTTTGCCAAGTTCGGTCCACACTGAGGGAACACTGCAGGTAATAATGTCCTGAGAGTGCACGCTGTAACTGCACTCATGCAGAGACATGTAGGAGGAGATGGACGAAGGCAACTCCTGATATACTCAAGTATCTTAGTTGTTTCAACCTGTACTGTATACGTTTCTGCCATGACTTATAGCAGCTAAGGTGAATAGGCACATGGGTCAATACCTGAGCGAGGCACAGAAGGAAAGTGGCACCAACAGCAGAGAGGCCAAGCACCAGCTACTGGTTGACAAAAACTGTAACATACGGCTGTAAGACTAGACACAAAAAGCTGTGCACCACCTCAATTGACCTAGTAGATGAAAGATCTCATCACAAGCTCAACACCCTGAGACTATACACTAAGAGACAAGAGGGAAGTAGAAGACTAGTGAGCATCCAAGCCACTATACAGGATGAAACAACTAAGATCCTGATGTACAACAGTAGCAAGGTCCCACAATGATGAAGTGATGAGTGAGTGTCACAGGCAGCAGCAGAAACCCAATGTGGAAGAGGAGGAACAATAGGAGCCACCATGGCAAGATAAGCCCCTGCATGGCATGTACCACAGCAAATTGAGGAAGAGGCTGATAACAAATACTACCAGTAGCATAGAGGGCTGAGCTGAAGGACAGCACAGAGGCACTAATCATGGCAGCACAAGAACAGGCCCTCAGAACAAAAGCAATAGAGACCAGGGTCTACCATACCAGACAAGACCCAAGATACAATGTGCAACGATGCCCTGAGACAGTCCAACATATCATAGCAGGATGTAAGGTGCAGGCAGGCAAAGCAGACATGGAACACCATAGCCAAGTGGCTGGAAAAACATACAGGAACATCTGTGCTGAGTATGGACCGGAGGTTGTACAGTCCAAGTGAGAGACACCACCATGGGTGGTGGAGAATGACAGGGCTAAGACACTGTGGGACTTCCAGATCTAATATTGTGGTGGTCCACATGCTACAGAAGAAGGCAGTGGTGATAGATGTAACAATCCTAAGAGGCAGTAAGAGAAGGAGCATAAGGGCTGAAAGTGAAAACAGAAAAAATGTGGAGAGTCAAGGAATCGGAAGTGCCAGAGTTTGAAGTGAAAAGAAACTGTCCAAGAGAAAAACAGAGTGTAAGTTAACTTTAAAGAGATTACAGTAATAATAAACCACAGTCGCAGATTTACAACATATGTATTTTTCATAAAAATACCCATGAGATTTGATTTGTTCATGACATAAAAACCTTTGAACCTTAAGCATTGATTTATTTATTTATTATTCAGGGAATCATCACATTTTTCAGCCACAGAAAAGCGTTTGAGGCAAATTATTATGTAAACTGATTTTAATTCTTTACAATAAAAACTTATTTCTCTTGGATGAAGAACGAACGAAAAGATAAATATAAAAAAAGTGTTAATTGTGTGAAAATCTAAGGATGTGTTAAAGCCGTGTTGAAATTCACACTGTAATTTTACAGAGCATCAAATGCTGTGAATTTATTAATTTGTTTATTCACTGACTCAAAAAGAATGAAGAACATGGAAATGTGCAGCTTTTTTATTCAGTCGCAGTTTTTGTATGATTCTCTGATTTGATTTGTTTCTCATCATTCAGCCAAGCTTTAATAGCTCGGAGTTTTTATCACTTTGTTTAGGATAAATCATCTCTTCCTCCCAACACATCAAAGGTTTTTTGTCTTTCTATAAACTGCTTGAACTTTTTGTTTCTGTCCTCTCAATTTTTTAACAGTCAAATCAAAATATTTGAGATGCTAAATGGAAAATTGGTAAAGAGAGAAAATTAATCTTATTTTGAATGAGCACTGTTTGACGTTAAGGACTTCGGTAGCTCTGTGGTCAGTGCCACTGTATTGTTATCCTGAGGCTGCAGGTTCAAGCCCAAGTTCAAGAATAAAACAATAACCACATCTTCCAGAGTTTGCCTGCTGTGTCGACCCCTGAAGAAGAAAGCAGCCGAAAGAATAAATATTTATTTCGGCTGCTTTCTTCTTCAGGGGTCGAGACTGTGAACTATCTCACACGAAGACTTGGCAATTGTTTATACACCGGATGTCCTTCCTGACACAACCACAGACCACCGAGCTACCACAGTCGTTTGTGTGAAGCAGAGAACTGCCATCTAGGGCAGCTGGGGGAGCAGATAGTGGGGGTTAAAGGCCTTGCTCAAGGGTCTAGAGTGGGGCAAATGAGGGTGGAGTGTGGGTGCTTGACCTTTCCAACCCACATTTTGATGTTGTCAGTACGGGGAGTCGAACTGGTAACCTTCCGATGGCAGGCCCACCTTTTCTAACCTCTGCGCCACCGCTCCCCTATCCCGGAAGAATAACAATTATATTTCACATAATTTTTCTTTGTCAGTGTCACGTTTAATACTGGGATTAGTTATGATTTGATTGTATTTCTATATTCTGTTTTCAACCTAATCTGGTGTAATGTAATTGGTAATCTGGATTATTACCATATATACACTGGAGGAACTAAAAGTTTTTTCCTCTGGCTGATTTAGTAAGTTTTCAAGCCTTGTTCACATCTATCTTGTCACTAATGTTCTTTGAGATCTCAATGGTATGGTGGTGTCGGAAATGGTGGCTGAATGGGTAAAGATGTTTCCTCTGTGAGAAGATCGCCGGTTCAAATCCCAGCCAGGGCACCACCCACAGGTGGAGCCTGCATGCTCCCCCCACCCCGTGCACGTGTGGGCCCTCCTTGGGTACCCCGGCTTCCTCCCACAGACCAAAAACCTGTTAGACTGATTGTAACTCTAAATTGTCTCTAGGTGAGAGAGAGAGAGTGAATGGTGGTTTATCTTGTTTATCTCTATGTGTCCCTGTGATGGACTGGAGACCTGTCCAGGTGTCTTTGTGATGGACTGGAGACCTGTCCAGGTGTCCCTGTGATGGACTGGAGACCTGTCCAGGTGTCTCGGTGATGGACTGGAGACCTGTCCAGGGTGTCCCCTGCCTACTACACAGCGACCGCTGGAAATGAGCACCAGTGACCCAGAAAGGATGAAGCGAGTAAAAATGATGGATGGAAGATCCACTAGATCGGTGGGCATTATACACTGGATGATCAGGACTGTTGATTGATTGATTGATTGATTGATTGATTGATTGTAATCTGTGTGCAACATAGGTGAGAAAATTTTGGTTGCGATTTAGTGGATCAAATAGTTGTTTCATTCAGTTATTTATAAGAAATCATTTTAAATTTGTGGTGTTTTTTCCACGTTTATTTAGCTGATATTCTGTCTTGACAAAAGTCCTCAAAACATAAAGATGCTCACAAATGTAAAAAGAACATCACCTAAATCCAAAGACAATGTTGAATGTAAAGGCAACATCCCAGAAAATGCCGTGTCCTCAAAACGGAAAGACAAAGCCTCAAAAACATGAAAAAACTGTCCATAAACTAAAGTGAATGTCTTAAAAACTAGAATGTCCCAACAGAAGGAGAATAACAAACAAAGTGAGTCAAATATACAAAAACAATGTTTAACAAATTTAGAGCCAACATCTTAAAACCGCCCCTACAACACAAAGACAATGTCTCAACAATATAAAACCAATGTCCCAAAAACATGTTACTAGAGTTGGATCTGCTTGAAAATAATACATCAACATAACTAGCTCTCCGGAACATAAAGAACCGTCAGAGAAAGATGAAACGCTACCAGAGTGAAGTTGTATCCGACCATCATGAGCAGCAGAAAAACGTTGAGCAGATTCTCTTCTGACTCCATCTGATCCTCCTGGAAACACAAACTGATGTTTGCTCTGCAGCTAACCAGCTAGTTAACAATCAGCCTTTGTTCTGGTTACTATCTGTTCACCTCCCGTCTCCTCTTCTGCTCTCCCCTCTGCCTCCTCCCTCTTGTTCTTCTTCTCTGATGCAACGCCAAAAAGCAGCCGAGTGGAAACCAGATCCTCCATAAAAATAGGGTTGGGGATGAAATCAGAGGAGGGCTGGAGGAGGGAGAGGAGGAGGAGGAGGAGGGAATGTGGAGAAGGAGAAGAGGAGGAGCTGTCTGTGGTGCTGAGTGTGCATCGCATTTTCAGGAAGCTATTAGGCCTCAGGGAGAAAATGTCTCTGTATAAAATATTTCTGATTTGACGTGTTTAAAAATGTGACACCAGAAGCGTGTTTAGCAGCAGATGTTTTCAGGTGCATGCATCATCTGTTAGGACTGTGCTGGGTATGGGGCTCAGTCGGTAGATCTGTTGACTCTCAGCAAGAAGGTTGTCGGATCAAATCCCACGTTCTCTCTGTGCATTTTCTCCGGGTACTCATGTTTCCTCCCACAGACCAAAAACATGCATGTTAGTCTCATTGGTAACTTTAAATTGTCCCTAGGTGAGAGAGTGAATGGTTGTTTGTCTCATTTGTCTCTCTGTGATGGACTGAAGACGTGTCCAGAGTGTCCCCCGTTTCTCGCACAGTGACTGTTGGATATGGACACCAATGACCCACGCAACATGAAAAGGAAGAAGTGGGTGAAGATGATGGATGGATGAAAACAATCACAGCCTCAATAAAGTGCTGTACATGTAAAATTCAAATAAAAGATGAAATTGATAAAAGCAACAATAAGACCAGGATAAACCATAAGAGAGAAGTAAAAGAAACACGATCAGCTCTCGGGTTGTGCCAAAAGCCAAGGAATGAAAAATATGTTTTTAGAAGCGTTTTACAAGTTGGAGCTCATCTGTTATGAAAATATATCTTGGATGAGAAACACAAGAAGTTCTGTCCTCTCTGAGCCTCCGTTTGAACCTCTGTCCCCTCTGATCGTCCATTTGG